TCCTATGAATTAATTAGAGAAGAGTCCATTTTGCTGTGCATTATGTGTCTTTCCTATGGAAAATGTAGTGAGAAGGAGAACTCTCAACATGCCATTAGGTCGTAAAGTTTATCTGGTCTAACAAAGGTATCGTGGTTGCCATGGTAGCCAGGGTCCCGGGCCTTGTTCACAGACATCTTGGCACCCAGTATGTTATGGAAGAAAGAGTTAAAACTGAACACAATCTTGCTACTCAAGCTGTGCATGAACATTTTATATATATTTATTTGCTTCTTTTCCATTTTGCATTTACTTGTACTTTTAATTTCAATACTTATGTACGTTTAAGATTTAAAAAATACTTTTCGTACATACGTACAATAAATATTACATACTTTAAGACTTTTACTTAAGTAATATTCTAAACGGTTACTTCAAATTCTACCAAAGTCATTTCTGGTAAGATATCTGTACTTTTACTTGAATATGGCTTTCAGGTATTTTATACACCACTGCATACACTTTGAGCGTGGAAGGTGTGTGCCCCTTTTCCAGGAGCTCTTGTAGAAAGGTTAGCACGTGGGACACGTCACAAAAGGACAGGTCCTCGTTCCGTGCTGCACACCAGTCAGAGAAGACTGACCATTTAAAGGCATCAAGATGCCTTGTAGACGGAGCGCTAGCCTCCAAAATGGTATTAGTTACACTCGTGGGGAGCTGCAAAAACTCCCGTCGAGGGGTCAATCATGAAGGATCCACAGCTCTGGTCGGGGATGCCAAATCATGCCCTTCGCTTGCGAGAGAAGGTCCTCCCTCAGTGGTATTGGCCAAGGGTCTGCCGATAGCAGCTGAATCAACTCTGGGAACCACATCTGATTCCTCCAGAGTGGGGCCACCAGGAGGACTGAGCATCTGACTTCCCTGACCCATCTGATGACCTAAGGAAGCAGGGCAACCGGGGGGAAGATGTACATCTCGCTGTCTCAAAAAGTAGATTGGGCAGAGAAAGTTGCCCAATCCACCTCTGCCCTCCCGAAGACAGACCAAATCGTTTGAACCATTTGGGGATGTAGTCTCCATTCTCCTGGAGCTACCTTGTCCCTGGACAGTATGTCTGCCCCCTGGTTCAGTCTGCCCAGCACATGAACTGCTCTCAGTGAGAGGAGTTTGCCTTGTGTCCATAGAAGGAGGCGTCAAGCCAACCTGTGAAGGGAACGTGACCTGCAGACCAGCTTGGTGACTGATAAAGGCTGCCACTGTCATGTTTTCCAAACGGACCAGGATGTGGTGCCCCTTTAAGGCCGGCAGGAAGGTTTTTATGGCCAGAAAAACTGCCATCATCTCGAGGCAGTTGATGTGTAAGCACTGCTCCAGGTTTGAGCATGAGCGGGACGCCAGTCTGCCCTCATACAGAGCTCCCCAACCCGAGTTAAAGGCATCTGTCGTGACCACCTTCCTTCTGGAGGTTAGTCCCAATGGGATGCCTGATTGAAACAGGTGAGAGGTTTTCCAAGGGGCCATGGGTCTGATGCAGCAGTGGGTTACCCTGAGATGAAAACGTCCCAGGCGCCAAGCGTGGGATGGAACATGGTCTTTGGCCAGTACTGAAGGGGCCGCATGTTGAGCAGGCCCAGAGGAATCACAGAGGAAGTGGCTGACATGAGCATCCTCTGGAAAGCCCTGAGGGGATGTGAAGTCCCTAATTTGAATGATGCCACTAGTCGCTGAATAGTCAGGGAGTGTTCCAGATGCTGAAGAGGCCGCATGTGAAGCAGGCACACAGTAATCACAGAGGAAGTGACCGACATGAGGCCGAGCATCCTCTGGAAAACCCTGAGGGGGACGTGAAGTCCCCAGTTTGAAAGATGCCTCCAGCCGCTGAATAGTCAGGGAGCGTTTCAGCGTGATCCATGCCCACATCCGGGCAGAATCAATAACTGTCCCCAGAAAGACCGGTCGCTGGCTGGGAGACAAAGAGCTCTTGGCTAAATTGATTCTCAACCCAAGGCGCTCCAGGAGGCTGAGTTCAAAATGCGAATTTCCGTCCGTCTCAGAGGGGAAATAGCTGCATCTATGCACTTCATAAAAGGGCACGGGACCAGGGACAGTCTGAATGGCAGGACTGTGTACTGATAGGCCGCTCCCTCGAATGCAAATCTCTAATGGAATTTGTCCATTTAAACACAATACTTCAGAGAGAGCTTAATATGTGCGCGCGTTCTGCGCGGGTTTGCGCGCTTCGGATGAGCGCACACACAAATCTTCTCACTGTGCGCGCGAGCTCGCGTCCTCTGGCTCTTAAATGTTTAAACTGGCAAAGCTTAAATGAGTTTAACTTAAACACAGATAACATGTGCTGTTCAGGTCTCACCTGTGCGCGCACGCTATCAGCACCCGGGTGATAATATTCCAGCATACGGCATTCGCATTGAACAAGAGTGAATGGTTTGTCTATGGTTTTTTTTCATCGCTGTTGTTGTAATGTATTGGTAAGCCAGAATGCGCATCCATCAACATAAACATATATTAGCTGAACCTGTTTGTTTTATGTGTTATTTATAGCAAACCAT